CACTGTAATGTTTTAGAGCTCAGTGGTTTTCATGCGTAAGTCCTTTTTTTATGCTTTTTTCTTTGGAGTAACTCAGTTTGATCCTTTTATGATCTGATCATGTTTTCTGTAACAGTTTAGAAAGCTTAGAAAGTAAATTTGAGAAGAAAAAGCTTTAGGTGGGCAATTATAGAGGCAGAGGTAGGTGGATCTCTTGTGAGTTCAAGGCCAACCTAAGTCTACAGAGGGAGTTTCAAGACAGCTAAGGGCTACACAGAGAAACCCTGTCTCAAAAAACCCAAAAAGAAAAATAGGGAAAAAAAAGAAAAAAGGAAAAGTAAATTTCAGAACTGAGACCATTTTTTAGCAGATACCTCTCTAGTAGCTCAGAACCACGAGCCCTGTGCAGAAAAGGTGCCGTCACAGGCTTTCGGGGCTGTCTCCTGGGGGCAAGGCTGGCAAGTCCCACAGTGCATGGGAGATTGGTGGTCTTATGAAACCCTTTGTGCCTATAGCTGTGCTTTTTAGAACAGTTACTTAGCCCTGAAGATTGCTGGGCACAGAGCTCAGCCCGACCAAGCTTATGAAGTGTGATGCCACTGAAGTGTAAAACAGATCTCAAATCCACACCTTACTTTTGTATGGATTAATATTAATTATGCCTTAAAATTTTAATTTTACAAATCTGTGGATATTTTTTCTTTTGCTATTGGATTTTGTTTTCTTTTTAAACCACCCTTTTAGACAGATCTTAATATACTTTCAAAGCACCACTCTTGGTGTATTTATTACAGAAAATGAAATTTACATGAATTATAAATTCTCTAGATACCTCTGGAGACATTAGTAAGGAATCTTCTAGGACTTTAAGTAGATTTACTTCTAAAATATTAATTTATATTTAAATTTGTGTGTATATGTTTGTTCCTGCTTGTTTGTATGTACATCAAGTGTGTATAGTGTCCATGAAAGCCAGGAGAGGTTGTTAGATTTCCTAGACATAAGCAAAGCAAAAAACCAAAGCTAGAGATTTCCTAGACCTAGAGTTTGAGGTGGCTGTGGGGTACCTGATAATGATGCTGGGATTGAACACAGGTTCTTTGCTAGAATAGGTGCTCTTAACCACTGGACCATCTTTCTGGTCCCCTAGATTTATTTTTATAAGCAATTTTCATGAATGTAGAAAATATTTAAAAGTCAATGAAGGCCGGGTGTTGGTGGTGTTCTGTGAGTTCTAAGCCAGCCTGGTCTACAGCATGAGTTCCAGCACAGGCTCCAAAGCAGTACAGAGAAACCCTGTCTTGAAAAACAAAAAACAAAAAACAAAAAAAAAAAAAAAAAAACAAAAACAAAAAAAACAAAAAACAAAAAAAAAGAAAGAAAGAAAACAAAAACAAAAAAAAGTCAATGAAGAAGAAAACTTATCTAAAATTTTATCATCTTAAGCTGGTTATGGTGGCTCATGCCTATAATGCCAGCCTCGGCTACATAGTGAGAGATACCCTGCCTTTTTACAAAAGGAAGCAGGAGAGTCCATCATCTGATACAGGGGACGGAGGTAGAGTGTCTCTACTTAGTATATGTTGAATCCTGGGTTCAGTTCCCCAGCACCATACTTCCAAAACCCATTCATTATTATAATCAATGAATCTTTTATAACTTTCATGTGCTAGTCCTCTTTCCCTGGAAAGCAATTCTCTATACTGATGTTTATTCCTGGTAGCTTTGGTCACAGTGGTCACATGGCCTCATCACCAAGATGAGGTTGCCTGAGGCTAATGTCTTGCCTGCTCTGCCTCCTAGGTGAGCACTGTACTCAGAAGGCAGCAAGCATTCCTTGACTGATGCTTGATGACTTGGTCCTTGGGTGTTCTAAGCTCCGTTAACAGTTTCAGTCCACCAGCAACTGAGCTAAGTGGAAGGAAACTTAGTCATTGATTGGGCCAAGGGTGTACCATGTTCCTTGTTGCTATTACCTCAAGTATTAGGTACACTTGAGGAAGTGTAGTACAGGAGCAGTAAGTAGTCTGCCTGTTGGCACCATTGAGATAGCCATAGCCCTCCACACAGGAGACTTCTGCTCAGCATAGCTCCAGGGCGCAAGGGTCGTCCCACAGGCTGCCACTCAGCTAGCCAAGACTGAGGTAAAGGACAAGATTCTTGTCCTTGGTCCTGTCAGATTCAGGCCATCTTTTTGTCTCTCCTGTCCCTTACTGTTAGAAATGGGCAAAAACATGTGAACAGATAAATAGCCGACAAGAAGCAAAGTGCCTAAGGCCCCATATCTGCTTTCCTTCATAAGACACTCATGTCACAGGATGGAGCTCTTCTGTACTTAAGAGAGCATTCATTAGTCCTTGAAAATAGCAAAGTGAGGGCACTGGAGAAATGACTCCATGGTTAAGAGCACTGGCTGCTCTTCCCAAGGACTAGGGTTCAATTTCCAGCACCCACATTGCAGCTCACAGCCGTCTAACTCCCAAGATCTGACACCCTCACACAGACATACATGCAGGCGTTTTACCAAAGCACATAAAATAAAAATAAATTTTTTTAAAAAAGAAGAAAAATAGCAGAGTGAAGCAGTAGCCTAACTCCGTTCATTCTGAACTTTTTAGGGCTTCAGACCACACGATTGGGAAACCACTTGGAAGACCGTGTGAATAAGTTTTTGCGGCGCCAGAATCACCCTGAGGCTGGGGAGGTTTTTGTCAGAGTGGTGGCCAGCTCAGACAAGACGGTGGAGGTCAAGCCAGGGATGAAGTCAAGGTTTGTGTTTTTTCTTCTGCCCTAAACTGTGGAGTAGTCCCACTCCTGTCTCTGTAGGGCTTCAAGTGTAATGTCCTTAATGCTGAGGCTTGTGGTAACTAGCACGAGACCTTCTTTTCTGAATTCCAATTTATTATCAGAGATGGCTTTCTTGCCTAAGAAACAGGATCAGGAAGAGCTACAGCAGCTGCGCGGTGGATGGCGCACACCTTTAATCCCAGTACTCAGGAGGCAGAGGCAGGCGGGGCTCTGTGAGGTCGAGACCAGCCCGGTCCCCAAAACCCCAGGCCAGTCTCCCAAACCACCAAAAAAACCTGGCTAAAAAAAAAAACAAGAACTACTACATCATAGCCCTGCAAATGTTCTGGCTATTGTTGCCCTGCATCTTCTACACAGAACAGGCTTTGGTTTTTGTTTCAGGTTTGTGGATTCTGGAGAAATGTCAGAATCTTTCCCGTATCGAACCAAAGCACTCTTTGCTTTCGAGGAGATTGATGGAGTCGATGTTTGCTTTTTTGGGATGCATGTGCAAGAGTATGGCTCTGATTGCCCCCCGCCAAATACAAGGTAGTCTTCCTTCTTACTTCCAAATGTGTCTTTTAGTCCCATGTTGGATAGTAACAGATTGAGGCTCAGGTGTATTAGAGCTGTGTGCTTCAGTACTAGATGAAAATAGTCACAGTTTCCTGACTAAACCAATTAGTTTTGTTTTCCTATAAACTGTCAGGAAACAAAGGGTCTTGGTAGTAGTGTGACATGCTTGTGTATGGCCCTAGTTTTGTTTTGGCTCATCAAGATGGTCACTGGGAAGCCAAGGTAGCAACAGCTGGATGCCCTTGTTCAAACCAAGCATCTCCAGTTAATTTGTTTAGTCTGGATTTTGAGTGAGAGGGGAAAAGAAGTGGCTTCTCCCAAATTGCTCCCCTGGGTAAAGTTTCCATTTCTTTTGTTGGACAGTAGAAAATTATTTCTGTTACTTTAGTTAGTTTTCAGCTGGAACTGTGATAAGGGTTTTTCACATCTTATTAGATGGCCTGTGTGACTGCTGTCAAAACCTATTTCTGGGGGCTTTTGGATGTTAGTGTTTGCTTTCAAGCTTGAGGCATACCCTGAATTAAAAAGACAAATGACACCCCACCCACCCACCCCTGCAGGCGTGTGTACATATCTTATCTGGACAGTATTCATTTCTTCCGGCCCCGCTGCCTCCGGACAGCTGTTTACCATGAGATCCTCATTGGATATCTAGAGTATGTGAAGAAATTGGGGTGAGTCTCAATTATTCAGAATCAATAAAAACGTTTTGTCTATTTTGTGAAATAGTAAGTTTTTCTCTCTTAGTTTTATGTGTTTTTACTCTAATATATTGAGATGGGTTCAGAAGTCTGCTGAGCCTCCCACATGTCTGACCCCAAAGAGCAGTATCTACCTTTGTGTTAGCTTGCTTTTCATTCTCTTTCACTTCATTGAGGCAAAATCTACATAACATGTTTTTGCCTATTTCAGGTTTTGGAGTCAGTTATTTTTAACATTATTGACTGGTGTAACCATTCCCATAAGTCAGTCTCTGCACACTCTCACTCCTTCACCAGAGCCCTGTGCCCCCGCTACTACTCCCTGTCCTGCTTCAGCCCTCAGACAGCCACTAATCTACTTTCTGTATACATTTGTCTTTTCTGGTCTTTCATTGGGATTCACTGAACATACACTTTGCGTCTTTTTTCTCTTATACTATGTGTTTATATACCATACCTGTCACATTGCTTTCTGAAACCTAAAAAAAAAAAAAATTTGCTGAAGTGTCTTGAACAGAGAGAATAAGATTACTTGACATGAATCCTCTATAGAGAATTACTTGCCTGAGCTGCCTTTCCAGTGAACAGGAGGAAGCAGGCAAGAAGCTAGTGCTTCACATCTCTATAATGTTCCCTGGAAGGCTCAGCTCCATGCGTGTACTAGAATAAAGTGCTCAATGCCGAATCTTGGGTTAAATTTGTAAATGATGAAGGTAATGTTTATACACACGTGTGTTGGAGCCCACATGTTTTCTAAGACCTACACAAGCAGGATTATATTCATTTCTTTCATTTTCATCTTCCCTCATTTTAATTTGTGTCCTTGCTTTAGTTCCTATTCTTAAGCTGCAGTTGCCTCACAAGTAGATCAGAGTAATTGACACTTCTGTCTGGCTTGTTTCATATATGTCTTATAGGTATGTGACAGGACACATCTGGGCCTGTCCCCCAAGTGAAGGAGATGACTACATCTTTCATTGCCACCCACCTGATCAGAAAATCCCCAAACCCAAAAGACTACAGGAGTGGTACAAGAAGATGCTGGACAAGGCATTTGCAGAGAGGATCATTAATGACTATAAGGTACTACTGTTGAAGGAAGGCGTTTGCTTTGTTGCAGCTGGCTAACATGTTTTGTGTATTTCCTCTGGCACTCATGTGCTTTATGACTATGATCAATTACAAGACATAGAAACCAGAGCCTCAAGCATCTGATGAAACTACAGAAACAACTTTTCAGTTGGTCAGAGCATTTGGCCTTTCAGTCAGTTGATGTCTGGTTTGTGTGTGAGATCCCCAGTAGTGTACAGGACTTCACCTCACCTCTGTTCTGCTTTCTCCTAGGACATCTTCAAACAAGCAAATGAAGACAGGCTCACGAGTGCCAAGGAGTTGCCCTATTTTGAGGGAGATTTCTGGCCTAATGTGTTGGAAGAAAGCATTAAGGAGCTAGAACAAGAAGAAGAAGAGAGGAAAAAAGAAGAGAGTACTGCAGCTAGTGAAACCCCTGAGGTACTGCCCCCACTAGAGCTGTGCCACCAGAATGGCAGGCTGGAAACTACATTTCTGTTGGGTTCTTTCTGTGGATGTTCTCATATGCATGTAGGGCATCACCATCAACAGCAGTAAGTGGGTATGGGGTCTCTATACAAGAGATACTCCTATGGGGTACCATGGTTAGACATAGAGAGTGGAGGGAAGGTGGTGCTCTGTTGGAGCCAGGACACTACATGGAGATGGATGAAAGTTACTTCCCAGATAAACTGAAGTTCCAAGCCTTGGACTGCATATTGTGGCAACTACTCATTTTGCGGTTTGTTTTTTTGTTTGTTTTTTGTTATTGTTGTTTTGGTTTGGTTTGGTTTGGTTTTTTGTTTTTTGGGGGGTTTTTTTTTGGCTCTCAACCTGTTCACTGTTTATTACCCCTGTGTACCAGGAGTGCAGAGTAAACTAAACAAGACCATGTCCCTTCCCTAAGAGGTATTTTATACTAGGAGAAACAGGAAGTGCCTGGAGAGCTGCATCGTGTGTTTTCAGGTGATGGGGCAACTCTGAGAAGAAAGGATTTTAAGGTATAGAAGACAGCAGGAGGACTGAGGGTAGCTTTGGAAACTGACATAGGAGCTGGAATCCCACTTGAGTTACAGGGGATGGAGTCTTCCACGACGAGGAAGAAATATTTTATATTGAAGGTCACAAGGCATTGTGTTATTGCCAGGTAGAGCTGACAGTGGCTTATATTGGTTATAGTTATAGGTTCTCTAGATGTGTGCAGTGACTTCTGTGGAGAGTGTTTGTGGCATGTGTATAGCTGGAACTCACTTTGATGAGAGAGAAGCAAAGAGTGGCTTGTGTTGCTCCAAAGGAAGTGGCCGAGATTGGGCCCCATTGGGTTTGGAGGTGCTGGCAGCATGTAGCAACACCTGAAGCCTCGCATCAGCATGCATGCTCAGGGCACATATGATTCGTTGAATGGTTACAATGTGCCAAGCACTGTGCATGTTGAGCTATGTCTTCAAAAGGACAGCTTTAACAGAGAAAGCACATACCAGGGTCAAACAAGAGTTTGTGTCCTGGCGGTTCCCAAAAACTCCCAAATTGTCCCTATTGTCTGACTTTCTCTCACTGGAGCCTCTACAAATTGGTCTGTCCTTTGACCCTCTCAGTAACCTGGCTAGTTTTTACTATGGTTTGATTTCTTACCCTACTGCAAAACAGTTCCCAAGGAAACTGGAGAAGAGAGGCCATATTCAAAATGGCTGACTCAGAGTACATTGCAGTGGAGACCAAGTGACCAGGAGGCCACTGGCCATGCCAGGCCCCAGAGTAAAGGTAGCCTGACTCAGAACCATTTGTCTGAGCTTGTAAAGGACAGCAGTGATGGCATCATTTGAGGAAGTGGATTGTGGGTCCATCTGTGGGAGTCACTGGTGCACAGCACAGCAGTACTACAGGATAAAGAAGTTCTCTTGGTCAGATCAAATGAGTGGGTTTTTTTTGTTTGTTTCTTTTGTATTTTTGTTTTTGTTTGTTTGTTTGTTTGTTTGTTTGTTTGTTTTTTTGTTTTTTTTGTTTGTTTGTTTGTTTTTTTTGGTCTTTGGAGATAGGGTTTCTCTGTGGCTTTGGAGCCCGTCCTGGAACTAGCTCTTGTAGACCAGACTGGTCTCAAACTCACAGAGATCCACCTGCTTCCCGAGTGCTGAGATTAAAGGCATGCGCCACCAACACCCGGCTCTAATTACCTTTTTTTATGTTGTTTTCTAAGTGGTTAATACTCTAAGTTATTTTCATATATTAGGCTCATTGGAGCACTTGAATTGGGGAGTGTATCCCTGTTAGACCTCAGCAAAGTAGTAACAACGGGTTGCAAGGAAAGCTTAGATATGTTCTACCTAGTGCAAGTGTTGAGTGGGACCTGAAAAGTCAGCTGAGTGTGCATGCTTCTCTTGGTGCTGCCCACCATTTGAAACTTCCCCCAGTCTTTTGAAAATTCATACAGATGAGCAGGCCTACCCAAGACAAAGAAGCAGGTGCTGAGCATACAGGATGGAACAACATGGCACTCCTGTCTAGGGAATTATGAGGAGTGGTAAGAAAACTTCCTCTTAGAATCTAAGCTTAGATTCTGAATAACAGGACATACAAGGTGCCAGTCTAGTGGCAGCATGCAGCCCAGGTACATATGGGGTCTCTACAGCCAGGAAATGGATGTTGTTGTGACAGTTTTGCATGTCATTACAGGGCAGTCAAGGTGACAGCAAGAATGCCAAGAAAAAGAACAATAAAAAAACCAACAAAAACAAAAGCAGCATTAGCCGAGCCAACAAGAAGAAGCCCAGCATGCCCAATGTGTCCAACGACCTGTCCCAGAAGCTGTATGCCACCATGGAGAAACATAAGGAGGTAGTGGCATAGTCTTATGGGAGGTTCTGGGAATACTCAGAACCGAGAGGAACAGCAGGCACCAGGCCTCCTGTGCAAATCTTTGGTAGAAGCAAATCTTTGGTAGAAATCTTTTATAGAAGGTGGAACAGTAGTTTGTTAATATATTGTGTGGCTTGTCATCAGTTATGTTCCATCCCAGGAAACCGGGGCCTCAAGCAGGCCCTGCGTGTGGTTAGCCTCCTATTACATAGGAATATGTGGCCCAGCCCTTGGCACAGTCTGCCTCTCTGTGGGGTTAATGCGGCTCCTCCTTTCAGGTCTTCTTTGTGATTCATCTGCATGCTGGGCCTGTTATCAGCACTCAGCCCCCCATCGTGGACCCTGACCCCCTGCTCAGCTGTGACCTCATGGATGGGCGTGATGCCTTCCTCACCCTGGCTAGAGACAAGCACTGGGAGTTCTCTTCCTTACGCCGCTCCAAATGGTCCACTCTGTGCATGCTGGTGGAACTGCACACACAGGGCCAGGACCGCTTTGTCTATACCTGCAATGAGTGCAAACACCATGTAGAGACACGCTGGCACTGCACTGTGTGTGAGGTAAGTCCCATCACCTCCCTCCTGGCCTTCCCCCATAGGTAGTATTCTAGCATTGTCCTCTGCAGCATTGGGTGCAGGTGTTAACATCTGTGCACAACATTGTACTGTGTCTCTCACCATGGGGAACCAGGCATGAGTGACACCCTTGTTGTCCTCTTACCTGTGCTCTTGTCTGCTACAGCTACAGTCCATGTACTGAGGCATCCTGACTGTAGAAAGACACTCCGAGACACTTTGGTTCTACAGGGATCCTGGTGTATTTATCTCTTCCTAGCCTTGCTAAGGGATTAGGGACACATTTTGCCCTGTTTGCAGGTTGGCACCTTTGATGAGGTCCAGTGGCATGATCAGCATGTGATCAGAAGACTTGATGGTCGAGTATGCCACTGGCAGGCTCACTGTCTCCTGCCCCATGGGTAGCTTGTCTTCAGCCATGCAGAGCTTGTCCTGGGCAAAACAAAGGCTGCCTAGCCCTTCCTTCTTTCTTACCTTTAAATTCTTATTTTCCTCTAGCTTTCTCCAGGCTTCTCTGTCTTCTTTCTATTTCACAAAGTGTAGGATTTTGTGTTTTCTTTCTAGATTTATGTGTGGATGTGGGTGGTATGTGTGTAGGGAAACTATTTTTGTGTGTACATACAGAGGCCAGAGGAGAGTTGTTCTGTAACTCTTTACTTCATAACCTTAGAAAACATCTGTCACTGAACCTTAGCTAGACTGGTGACCCACAAGCCCCAGCAGTCCTCTTACCTCTTTCCTGCCTGGTGCTGCGATACAAGCACTGGATTTTTGTGTGAATGCTGAGGATCCAAATTCGGGTCCTCATGTTTGACCATCCAATCCTCTTACCCGCTGAACTATCTCCCAAGCCCCCATCCTTCTTCAGATTTAATGCTTCCTTTTTAGTTTCTAAGTTCAAGTATCTCTCAGCCACTTGGGCTATCTGTTTTGGGGAAGGATCATTTGATTCATTTCTCCCAGGGATAGTGTCTCATATCCTCTGGTAGTACTTGGAATAAATGGCCATGGTATTCTTAGTTCTTGCTGTTAAGTCTCAAGGGGAGGTCTTGATGCTTTTCCCAAAGCACATGAAGTAAAGAAGGAAGGGTATCATTAATAACTGCTCAAGCCTCAGGCCTAACTATTTCCCCTGCCCAAGGGTGTCTGCTCATTCTAGGCCTATGCTGATGTTGGTCTGTCCCTTTTGCTTCTCTACAGGACTATGACCTTTGTATCAATTGCTACAACACAAAGAGCCACACCCATAAAATGGTGAAGTGGGGACTGGGCCTAGACGATGAGGGCAGCAGTCAAGGTGAGCCACAGTCCAAGAGCCCCCAGGAGTCCCGGCGTCTCAGCATCCAACGCTGCATCCAGTCCCTGGTCCATGCCTGCCAGTGTCGCAATGCCAACTGCTCTCTGCCATCTTGCCAGAAGATGAAACGAGTAGTGCAGCACACCAAGGGTTGTAAACGCAAGACTAATGGAGGATGCCCCGTATGCAAGCAGCTCATTGCTCTTTGCTGCTACCACGCCAAACACTGCCAAGAAAATAAATGCCCTGTGCCCTTCTGCCTCAACATCAAACACAAGCTCCGCCAGCAGCAGATCCAGCATCGCCTGCAGCAGGCCCAGCTCATGCGCCGTCGAATGGCCACCATGAACACCCGCAATGTGCCTCAGCAGAGTTTGCCTTCTCCTACCTCAGCACCACCTGGGACCCCCACACAGCAGCCCAGCACACCCCAAACACCACAGCCCCCTGCCCAGCCTCAGCCTTCACCTGTAAACATGTCACCAGCTGGCTTCCCTAATGTAGCCCGGACTCAGCCCCCAACGATAGTGTCTGCTGGGAAGCCTACCAACCAGGTGCCAGCTCCCCCACCTCCTGCCCAGCCCCCACCTGCGGCAGTAGAAGCAGCAAGGCAAATTGAACGTGAGGCCCAGCAGCAGCAGCATCTGTACCGAGCAAACATCAACAATGGCATGCCCCCAGGGCGTGCAGGTATGGGAACCCCAGGGAGCCAGATGGCCCCTGTGGGCCTGAATGTGCCCCGTCCCAACCAAGTCAGTGGGCCTGTCATGTCTAGCATGCCACCTGGGCAATGGCAGCAGGCACCCATCCCCCAGCAGCAGCCAATGCCAGGCATGCCCAGGCCTGTGATGTCTATGCAGGCCCAGGCAGCAGTGGCTGGGCCACGGATGCCCAATGTGCAGCCACCAAGGAGCATCTCGCCAAGTGCCCTGCAAGACCTGCTTCGGACCCTGAAGTCGCCCAGCTCCCCTCAGCAGCAGCAGCAGGTGCTGAACATCCTCAAATCAAACCCACAGCTAATGGCAGCTTTCATTAAACAGCGCACAGCCAAGTATGTGGCCAATCAGCCTGGCATGCAGCCCCAGCCTGGACTTCAGTCCCAGCCTGGTATGCAGCCCCAGCCCGGCATGCACCAGCAGCCCAGCCTGCAGAACCTGAATGCAATGCAAGCTGGTGTGCCACGGCCTGGTGTGCCTCCACAGCAACAGGCGATGGGAGGCCTGAATCCCCAGGGACAGGCTCTGAACATCATGAACCCTGGACACAACCCCAACATGGCAAACATGAATCCACAGTACCGAGAAATGGTTAGGAGACAGCTGCTACAGCACCAACAGCAGCAGCAGCAACAGCAGCAACAGCAGCAACAAAGCAGTGCCAGCATGGCCGGGGGCATGGCAGGACATGGCCAGTTCCAGCAGCCACAAGGACCTGGAGGCTACGCCCCAGCCATGCAGCAGCAACGTATGCAACAGCACCTCCCCATCCAGGGTAGCTCCATGGGCCAGATGGCTGCTCCAATGGGACAACTTGGCCAAATGGGGCAGCCTGGGCTGGGGGCAGACAGCACCCCCAGCATTCAGCAGGCCCTACAGCAGCGGATTCTGCAGCAGCAGCAGATGAAGCAGCAGATTGGGTCCCCAGGCCAGCCAAACCCCATGAGCCCCCAGCAGCACATGCTCTCAGGACAGCCACAGGCCTCGCATCTCCCCGGCCAGCAGATCGCCACATCCCTTAGTAACCAGGTGCGGTCTCCAGCCCCTGTCCAGTCTCCACGGCCCCAATCCCAGCCTCCACATTCCAGCCCATCACCACGGATACAGCCCCAGCCTTCACCACACCATGTTTCACCCCAGACTGGCTCCCCCCACCCCGGACTCGCAGTCACCATGGCCAGCTCCATGGATCAGGGACACCTGGGGAACCCCGAACAGAGTGCAATGCTCCCCCAGCTGAATACCCCCAACAGGAGCGCGCTGTCCAGTGAACTGTCCCTGGTTGGTGATACCACGGGAGACACACTAGAAAAATTTGTGGAGGGTTTGTAGCATTATGAGAGCATTGGGTGTTTGGTTTTTTGTTTTGGGATTTTATTTTATTTTATTATTTTTTGGGGGTTTTTTGTTTTTTTTTTTTTTTTTTTCTTTTCTTTTTTTTTCTTTTTTCTTTTTTTTTTTTTTTTTGTTTTGTTTTGTTTTGTTTTTCCCCCCTCCCCTTTCATGTTCTTGGACTTTTTGTACTGAAAATCCAGGCGTCTGGGCTCTTTTTATTACGCCTAGATGGACTGTGACTCCCAAGCATGGAAGGGTGGATTGATGTCTAAAACAATACAAAGAATATATTTTTTGTTAAAAACCAGTTGATTTAAATATCTGGTCGGTCTCTCTTTCTCTCTCAGCTTTTTTCTCTTTTTTTTCTGTTTTGTTTTGGGGGGTGGGGGGTTGTTTGGATTCTTTTTGTCGTCATTGCTGGTGACTCATGCCTTTTTTTAATGGGAAAAACAAGTTCATTATATTCATATTTTTTATTTGTATTTTCAAGACTTAAACATTTATGTTTAAAAGTGAAAAGAAAAATAATACTCAGAAACTGGTTCCAGAAATAATGCATCTTATAATGTGTCCCGATAACGAGCTGATGTTGCGGGAAGATTTTTTTCTATAGTGAACTCTGTGGGCATCTCCAAGTATTACCCCTGGACAATAGGAATTGACTCCGGCGTGCACACATGTACACACCCACACACATTTATCTATACATGCTGGCTTAAGCCAACCTCTTGTCTTGCAGATGTAGAAATTGTTGCTTTGTTTCTCTGATAAAACTGGTTTTAGACAAAAATAGGGATGATCACTCTCTTAGACCATGCTAATGTTATTAGAGAAGAAGCATTCTTTTCTTTCTTCTTGTGAAACTTGAAATGAGGAAAAGCAATTCTAGTGTAAATCATGCAAGCGCTATAATTACTATAAATAAGAAAATTCAAGAAGATTCAATCACTGTATAGAATGGTAACATACCAACTCATTTCTTATATCATATTGTTAAATAAACTGTGTGCAACAGACAAAAAGGGTGGTCCTTCTTGAATTCATGTACATGGTATTAACACTTAGTGTTCGGGGGTTTTTTTGTTATGAAAATGCTGTTTTCAACATTGTATTTGGACTATGCATGTGTTTTTTTCCCCATTGTATATAAAGTATCGCTTAAAATTGATATAAATTACTGAAGTTTTTAACATGTATTCTGTTCTTTAAGATCCCTGTAAGAATGTTTAAGGTTTTTATTTATTTATATATATTTTTGGAGTCTGTTCTTTGTAAGACATGGTTCTGATTGTTCGCTCAGAGTGGAGAGGTCGGGGCTGCAGTCATGGTTGCAGTGTGGGTGGCAGCTGGGAATATCCCAGGCTTGTGGCCACCAATGGGTGGGGGGAGTCTGTGCAGAGAGGAGGCAGCTCAGCATTGCCTTGCATATTCAGTACTCACAGGTGAATGTCACCCATGCCAAGAGGGACAATCACCACTGGGTCAGAAACAGCACTTTGCCTCCAGCCCACTCTTTGTCCTCCTTGTTGGCCAGCTGCCCCTGTGGGGAGGGCTCCTGCCCCCCCCTCTTTTTTTCAGACAGCCCCCCTTTCTCTACCCAGATCCCACAATCAATGCAAAGGGTGCTCCAGGGACTTGAGGTGGTTCCTGACCTCCCCTCCCCTAAAGTTCAACAGGGAGCTTACCTCCATCAGCCTGCCCCACGTGGCCTCATTTGGGTTTTGCAGGCCTGGTGCCACCCTGGGGGCTGCTGCTTCATGGTCTTACCCACTCATGAAGTCCAGTTACAGGTGCCCTTCCTGAGCAGGGGATGGTAGCTCCTGAATACTGTAAATGTCACATCCAATAGGAGGACCACTGACAGGGGAACTAAACCCCTAGCCTACTGCTCCCAGGGAACTTTTTTTTTTTTTTAAATACCTGTCTTCCAACAAAAAGGTGGTCTAGATGGGGGTGGGGGGCAGCTAAATTTAGAAATCATGACCCAAATAGCCTTCCTTTTGGCCTTTTAAGTTCACAGAAGTATTTTCAAAATTCTTGATACTTGGAAATCTAAATTTGAGGAAGCCTTTCAAGATTAGAGTTTTGAATGTAGAATTTTGAATCTTGGATTTTAATACTGTGGATAAGACCAGGTAAGGAATAGACCATCATCTAACATCCCCAACTAAGCCCTGTCCCAAGTCCTCCAGAGGTGATGCTCCGTCCTTGCTCAATTTGATGGGTCCTTGCACATTCTCGGCTCTCTTCAGAATGCCCTTTGCTGCCAGTTGGGAAGCCCCAAGCCATGTGTTCAAACAAGAGGAACTGGAGCCTCAGAAGAGCTGCTCAGCCCCACTCAGAAGGTGGCACTTGGCATTGTGCAGCCTTTTCATGTGGGCAATGGGGACATCCTTTTCAGTTATCCTGAAGTTCAAAGCTATGTACCAACCTCCTTGGAGTCTGCATCCTGTGCAGTTGTCCATCTGGATGTCGGATGTGGCTGAGGGTGTGGGCTGTGGATAATATCCCTAAGTTTGTCCTAAGGAAATTTCTGTAAGAGCTGGAGTGCCCAGACACTGTGTCTCATGCTGTATACTTAAGAGGAGAAGAAAAAAGTCCTATATTTGTGATCAAAAAGAGGGAACTTGAAATGTGCTGGTGTTTATAATAAAAGCTGGTAAAACTGCTTGGATTCAAAGGTGGTTCCGATTGGCTAATGATCCCCTTAGCATTAGTTCACCTGTGGATCACTGAACTACTGAAGATGTCTGGTGTCAACCCTGCATGCATTTGATTCTCTTAGAAACTCTAGCATTTAAGAACTGGATGTCATGTCCACAGATAACATACTGTTCTGCACAATTGGGGTGAAGACATGTAACTTCCTTTTGATTTCCATTAAATGGGGCCAGCTGGGCATGGTAGCCCATGCCTTTAATCCCAGAAGAGCTAGAACAAGAAGAATCTGGAAGACATCAAACCCAGAGATCCTCATAGGGAATTAATGAACAGCCAGTGTTATGTCCTGTCTCAAAGAGGGGAGGAGCAAAGGTTGCATTTGAATCAACATTTTTAGTGCTGCATGACAAAATAAGCTGCTGTTTTAAAACAAAAGGACAATATTTCTCATTAAGGTGATTGTGTGTTGGTAGCCACCATGATGCCAGGAAATAACAATACAGGATAGTATATTGGGAAGCAGTTCAGTGCTCAGACACTGTAGCAAGCCTGGGGAATGTAGGAATAAGTCTGCCCATCTGGGACTGATGATACACAAGAGCTTGATGGGTATTGGGTGTTTTACCTGCATTGTTCATGTAGGTGCAGGGTGGGGAACTGTCAATGATAACATACTGAAGAAATGGTGCAGAACTCAAACTCCCAAGGAGTTTTGGTGGTTGGGTCTGCAGCTGATCTAAATTGCCTAAAACCATGTTTTCTTCATGCTCACATCAGTTTATAGAGGACTTGTTAGAAATCTTTGATAATTCACTTTTCAACTAAAAAATTCAGAGGGAGTCAGATGAGCCTAGTATCCACAGAATTGAGCCCCTTGGTGGACCACACTGTCCATTCTACAAAATTCCTACTAGAGGCTTGAAACTGAGATGGCCATTAAGGCCTTTCATCTTGTATTCCATGGCTCTTGTCACAAGGAAACCTGCAGGCTGACATTTTCAATACATGTAGGTTAACGTGAAATTCAGATAAAAGGATTCTATGGGGAGAATGATATGGAGAGTTCTAAGCTCGAGTGAGAATCTGAACACAAGGTCCTTGAAAAGTCTGCTGTGTGCAAAGGAGGACTGACATCTCGTGGGTATTTTCTCCGAGGTCAAAAAGCCAGGACTCTTACTATCTCTGATACTGCCCAGGACACCTCATGTTGGTACAGATAGGGGCCACTAAGACAAGAAAATTTTGCGTGTTCGTTCCTGGAGTGAACATTAAAAGAAGTTACTAAAAGTCCCAAAGCTGGAAAGTGGAACCAGGCTGGACAAGGGGCAAATGTCACGAGGTCTGAAATGGACCGCTGTTAGGCAACCACTGTAGTTTGGGCTAGGGTGTACAGAAGGCCCTCAAAGTTTGTGGGGAGTCATTTCCTGTTGTTCCTTGCCCTTGGTAAATACATAGATACATAGATCCAAACTTTGGTTTCCTTGGAACGGACAGGAGGGCCTAGGGTTGCTTTACCTGGAATGTAGGTGGTTTACAATGGACAGAGCCTATATCTACATCCTTAACTAAAGCCCAGGTTCCCCTTTTTTTTGCCAGATGTCACTTCACCTTTCTAAACATTCAGCCAGATCTGCTGTTCCTTATATGTTCTGTCAGCTCTGACAGAAGAGAGGATTTCAAAATGAAGAGTTAAAGGAATGAAACATGAGGCTTCTTAATTCCTCTAGGAGTCATATCCAGGGAAGCTATTCTGTGTGGTGACATGACTGGGACCCAGGCTGGGTAGAGGAGGTGATGATGCCTGGGGGGGCTAGAGGCAGAGGCTAGAAACCAATTGGAAGGATCTAGGAAAGGACTCTAATGAGGAAGTGGGGTTGGTTGTGAAGGATATGGGCCCCCCAGAAACGGAGCTGGCTGGAGAGAGGGGATAGTTGTTAGGCATCCAGGTGCTCAATGAAATTTGTCTTCCTCTGCTACTCTCATCCTTACATTTTGAAACGGTCTTTTTACTGGAACTGGGGCTAACAGATTTAGGTAGATTAGTTGCTGAGCAAGACCCGAGGATTCTCTTCTCTTTCTCTAGCACTGAGGAGATTACAGGCACACATTACCCTGTCATTTTCCTGTGGACACCAGGGCATCAAGTACTTACAGACTTAGTCATCTCTGGCGTCCTAGATCTGCCCATTTTTTTTTTCTGTTTTCTGTCTATGAAGTCAAGAATGTGGGAACTATCCTTAACACAGTCAACCTAGAAGCATTACTAAACATGCCCTCTGCCAAAATTTCAAGTCTATCCAAGAGGTAATTGCGCTGGGTTTTGTTTTGGTTTTTTTGTTGGTTATTTTTGTTGTTTTTTGTTGTTTTCTTTTTTTGGTTTTTCGAGACAGGGTTTCTCTGTTTTGTTTTGGAGTCTGTCTGGAACTCGCTCTGTAGACCAGGCTGGCCTCAAACTCACAGAGATCCGCCTGCCTCTGCCTCCCTAATGCTGGGATTAAAGGTGTGCACCACCAACCCCCGGCCATTTACAAATCTTAAGTAACTGGTTTTGTTCCAGCAGTTGGGACTAGTGTCTGGTAGCAAGCTAAGCAAACACGTTAACGTTTCTGTAAAATTTGATCATAGCAAAATATATTTAGCAAGTGAGAACCTGTCACAAAGGAACCATCTGGAACTTACTCTGAGGGTAGGACCAAAACAAGCAATCTGTTTTACAAAGTGGCTAGAGAATTTGAATCAGGCATTAGAGACCAGATTTATGGCCTGGATCCCCAAACAAACTTCCAGTAGGGAGAAAGTCACAATAAACGGGTAAGTACAGTTTCTGGAGGTGTTGGTTACTGAGTTCACGTTTTTTTGTGACTAACAGTCAGACCTAAAATCTCTGTCACTGTAGCTTTTGCCATTGCTGTAGGAGACTCTGCCAGTGGCCCAAACGCATAGAAACACATGGGGCGGCGGGGGGTGGGTGTGAGGTGGGGGTAGGTCTGCGCGTCCACACTGCAGCCTGGGTATCTCTAGAATGAGGTGCTCCCGCCTAGGCGCAGCCGCAGCCGCAGCCCCAGGGGCACAACCCCGACACACTCCACGACCTTGTCAGTGACATCCGAGGTCAAAAAGTCTGGTCCTTGGGCCCCTGCACTGCGGTTTGCTCCGTTCCTGTTCCCGCGCAGGCAGAGCCTTGGGCAGCCCTAGCCTGTCGCTTGCTATTACGTCATTGCGCCGCCACGTGGAAGGCCCCCCTCGCACCTCTTGGCTGTTTGCGGCTCTTGGGACCGAGGCATGGCGCGCGAGCTGCGGGCTGTGCTGCTGTGGGGTCGCGGGCTGCAGACTACACTGCGTGCTCCCGCGCTAGCGGGCGTCCGACGAGGTGAGCGCCGTGCAGGAGCGCAGAGGCGGCGTCTGAGGTGGGAGGCCGCACAGCACCGGGGCTTCCACGTTGGGCCGGGGGCAGGGAAGTGCGGTCGCTTCTAGGGAGACGAATCGCGGGCACCCCCAGCGTGGTCTGGTCAGTCCCTGGCTTTCCTGATTGCGGTCCCCCGCGCCTGGGTTCACTCGTTCGCTGCGCGCAGCTGTGCACACGCTCAATTCCCGCAGAGCTCAAGTCCTGAGGTAGAAACGGCGAACAAAACCAGTCGCACCCCGGACTACAGAAAGTCAGTGAACTCCGGGTGGTTGGTCCCTGCATCCCTAGGGCCTGGATTAAAAGATAACAAGAAATGGAAAGAGAGAGAGAGAAGGACCCTAATCTGTCCTTTCCGGCCCCGCACTCAAGTAACGGTGAAGGCATTAGCGTTATATACACACAAGCTATATGTATTTACAGCTATTTTTACATAAAAGGGCCCAAGTCAAGTATAAACTCTGCTGAAGAATATTCTTCAAAGTTCCCAGCATTCTTTACACAACTTTTCATACTAGCATATACCTGTACAGTGGCGTTCGGAGTTCTCTAGTGTTCATCCTCTACTAAATGCTCTGTTGAACACAACAGTGTGGTAAAAGTTAAGTGAGTGCTTAAATCTTTAGGAACATATATTCAGTTTCAGGATTGATGTTTCAGGGTGCCTGTTTGTTAGCTGATTTTGCCAAACTGCATCTCGATTTATTTATTCATTTGTTTTTGAGATGGGTTTCCACGATGTTGTCTGGCTGGCCTGGAACTTGCTACATAGACCAGGCTGGCCCCAAACTCACAGAGATGCCTCCGCCTCCGCCTCCCAGAGTGGTGGCATTATAAGCATGTGCCACAGTGCCTAGAGCTCAAATACTTTTTGTCTATGTATATGTCCTCTAATAGCAAAACTGTCTGTTCCATAGTATCTTCTCCAGCATTTGAATGTGTCTTAAAAACAAACAGAAAAACCAGTGCTCTAAGGACTATGGTGTAACACTGACATAGAGTTTGTGCTTGGCTTGCACAGGCCCCGAATTGGTCCCCAGCACTACCAAGAATACTAAAAAGAGGACACTGTAGAGGATACCTTCTGTGATTTGTATCTACATGGATACCTGTGAAAGACTGTTTTTACTTGTTTAACAGTTGGTTGGTATCTTCTCTATGATTTCCTCTTTGTATCTTGCATCATGTTCTGCAAACACCTTCTCAGCTTTGGCTAGTCCACCCAGTCTGTTAACAAAAGCTGATTCTAGAGTCTCTCGGAAGCTTATCTGAGAAACGTGATGCTCCTTTTCACTGACTCAGATTCCCTTTCACTTTCTGGCTTCCTGTGGTGGCACTAATTCTCTTTGGGTCTCCAGTGGAGGAAAATAAATAAATATATATATGTATGTATGTATATATGTATTAATTATACATTTTCTATGGGCAATTTAGTGACTTCATTAAAGTTCTGATTTCAGTCTGCTTCCATGTTGTGTTGGCTCCTTCTCTGATGTATCAGCCCTCCAGAACCCACTGCTGTTAGTTGGTAGGTTGGTTGTCTCTCCAGTGTTCCTAAATTCTGTCTTTGATGGTGATTCTAAGTTCACTGTTGTTATCTATAATAAATT